GTTTTCCAGTCAAACTTTGTCTCATGTTTAATGAGGTACCAAAAGCTACTTCCAACTGGAAGATGAAAATAGTGCGTAATTAACGTTAACTTTGCCTTTTTTTTCCTCCTTCATTTATTGGACTATTATTTTTGTTACAATTTTACGTGTCTTTTATAATACCCTTCAATGAAAATAGAGCTAACAAAAAATAGTGTAGTAAATTCAAGACCCTATCGTGTCGTTTTTTTTTTCTGACGTAGAACCAGGTCAGACATGGTAGGTTTTGTTGACCATATCACTAGGTATATGAAATCGTATTTTACGACATTTTTTTGTGGTCTGGAACTTTTTAACTGAGAAAAAACTGAAAAAAATGCACTTTAAATTAAATGTATTTTTTTTGTTTCCACCGTCATATCTTTGAAATCAATGAAGATATCGAAGTGTTTTTTTCTCTAGGTTGAACTAAACACAATAGCGCTTCTAACAGTACCGATGGATTTTACAAAATTTTCATCTTTCATTTTTCAAAAATCAAGAGAGCATGGAATTCAAAATTTATGCATTACAATTTGCACCAATCGATAAACTTTTTTATTTTTGGAAATTTTTGTATACATATAGCGAAACAAATGGAGCCCATATATGATAGAAGTTTTTGAGCTGATTATTTTTCCCCCATTTTGTATAGTTTAGCAACAATGATTTTTTTATTGCTCGCTCAATATCGGCACGCGCCACCGAAAGACGAGGGTGGATTAATTCGATGTAAACGGCATTCAGCGTAACATCTACATGCGCAGATATAAGAAGTTCTCTGAGAAAATGGAGTGTATTATTTGTGGAAATATTGTGCGGGATGATGACAAATCTGTGGTACAAAGACCTAGAATACAAGGATTGTTGTTACTAATAGCAAGTGCTGAGAGGAGACAAGACAATCGGTCAAAAGAAATTCTGTCGCAAAAAAAAAGAATTTTTAATAGTGACCTAAAAATAAAGTTTCAGTCAGACTGCCAAAAATCGCACACAAGCTTTCAAAATATTGATAGTATTTCGCGAAATGACAGTGAGGCCGGACCCTCAAATTATTCTGGACCTCGGTTTGAATCACAAACATTTGATATCAGAAAAATGTGCCTTATCAGCAGTAGTACTGGAACAAAAAAGAAGGAAAGTTTGATATCTGTTGAATATTTTTTATATCGTGTTAATTGTTGATGAGTCTCGAAGTTCATTTGCAAATAAATAATTTTTGATGATCTGAGGCATCTTATGCATTTGAAAAAAAAAAAATCTGGTTGGGACATGGCTTGACTGTGGACTCCTGGGACAGAAATAAGTTCATTTTAGCCCACTTACCTATATCCAAAATCGTTTCGTTGAGTTGGTACAGGGCGTTAAAGTGCTCACCTTAGGTACTGAATATATAGTTATCGCTATATTTGTAACACGAGAGTTCTTGTAAAGCCCGCGAGGACCAGCAACATATCAGTTTGTTTACAATAAGAATACATTGTAGCCATGATCCATAAACAGTCCGACTAATAAGATTAATTTTCAAAAATACGCGAGTTTCAACTTTTAACGATTTAGAGAGGAAATTTTTGACAGCTGTAATTAATGCTGGGCACAGATGTCGAACACTTCGAACAGTGGTAGTTTTTGACACCTACAATGAAAATTCTGTTAAAGCTATAAGCACATTTTAACGTTATTGGTAGCCGAAAATTACAAAAATATCGACACTTTTTGAAATCTTATAAAATTAAACAGTGAGTTCTTATTTTTCCAAAAAGAAAACAAAACGCTGCAAAGTACTTGAACGAAAATGAAATATTGATGACAGCTAGGGGATTTAAAATGTCAGAAAAAGTAGTTTCAATGCATAAACATGATTCGGAAATTGTTAAGGCTCTATTTCTTAATAAACATGAAGAGGCAGATACAAGGATTATTTTGCATGCTATACATGAAACTGAATTCAGCAGATTTTACTCATCCACTTTTTTTGTTGAAAGAAAGTAATTTATTTATGCATCTTGGAACAGTACTAGCAAACGATTTATCTCAATTGAAAAAGTAGTGCAAAGTTCAGGACCTACAATGTGTTCTTGTCTGTTGGCACTTCATTGTTCTACTGGTTGCGAAACAACTAGTAGTTTTTTCAAAATAGGAAAAAAATCGACGTTCGACGTTCTTAAAAAAACCGTCTGCAGAGCTTTCCCCAAGTGAAGGTGCCTTTTACCAGCACTTCTCAAGGTGAACGTGAAAATTATATTCATTATTACATTATGAACATACTTATATTTATATATTAAAATAAGATGACAATATTTCAGTTGACCATTGAAATTTTAGGTGTATATATCAACTCAGAATATGGTTCAGCAGCAACATAGCAACACCACTTATAAATACAGATGGTTCAGGATGGAATTTGAATAACAACGTTTGGATTTCAATATTTCCGAATGATAAACCAATTTCTGGATCTGTTCGGCAATCATGAAGTATCTTTTGTTCGGATAAAAATTGTGATAGTCGAAAATGTGGTTGTTTCAAAGAATGCCTAAAATGTTGTGAAGATTGTAAATGTCGTTTTTGTAATAATGTTACCGAAGATTCTGAGGAAGATATAGGAGAAATTGACGAACTTGAATACTTTTGATGTACCTAATCTATTGGAATAATTGAAAAAATAAAAGTTGTTTTATGCATACGTTTTTAGTTCCGGTCAAAAATGATTAAATAATCATTCTGGAGGAAAAGGAAAGAATTTAGTTTGAAACATTGATTGATGTATCATTTAGATAGTTCAATATTTTGAAATATAAACATCAAAAGGTATCATCCCATCAGAAGTCCGACCATAACGTACGTACGGATCTGCTACCTATGTAGTCGACAGACATAAACTGGGTAATAAGAGAGCCGGGCGCGCCCGAGCGCAATTTTAGCCCGTTTTGTTAAAATCGCTGACTGTATACATACATACATACATGAAAAATTATCATTCCAAAAACTTTCTTCATACATTCTCCCTATTTTGTTCGCATAATGTATACACAAATTTCCAATAATAAACTTTTTTATCTATTGCTATAATTTACATCTACAAAAATATCGATGTCAAGTTTGTTATCATTTCAACAGATCGAAAAAAAATATATCAAAATCACAAAGTAGGTGGTTAGAACCGCTATTGAATCTTCTTTAATTAAAAAAAAAAATCAGCCCAAAACCACAATTACTTTGAGATATATAACGGTGGAGACGTAAAAAAACATGTTTTACATATTAATCCATTTTTTCGAGTTTTTTGAAATTAAAAAGTTCACGACCACTAAAAAATGTCGTAAAAAGTGATTTCGTGTACACGCCCACCTAATTGAAGAAATGGACCAGGTTTTACCTGGTTCTACGCCAGTTTTTTTTATCTCAGGAACTAATAAGCGACTTTGCTCTCGAAATTCGCTCGTCTAAAAGTTCAGTGAGCATTATGGCACCATAGTGGTTTATTGTGGCCCCCTTCAGATGCATTGATGAGTTGATAGCAAAAACTATCATGTATCCATGGCCAACAACTTGCGGAATTATATATTTATATCACCCTGTATCTCCCTTTATTAGCAATATTTTACCAAATCAATTTGGCCCAAATCGTAATATTTTGAAGTCTTTATATTTCTATAGAATTACTTAAATAACACCCCGAGTACCACCCTGAATACATAATGTCATTTGAATTTGAAATAACACAGTTGTTATTGCACAACGTCCTAAAATAAAAGAACGAGAGAGACGGTTTTCAACTTTCAAGAGACTAAAAACTTATCTGAGAAATCATTCGACTGATGGGCGTACAACAAGTTTAACCCTAATGAGTAGTCATCGTAATATTCAAAGCGATATACTAATGAAATTATTATATAATACATTTCGCCAAACCATTCGACGAATTGCCCTTTTAGTGTATAGACCTAGGTATAGACCGAAATACACTCCATCAGAAATTAACGCTCTACCAAAAAGTATAGCCAAATGTTTGAGATCAGTTTTCGTCAAAGTTACCGATTTAGACCTTTTTTGGTTTTTTGTTTCAAATGACATGTTCTGAACATTGGTGTATAAACTGTTTTCTTATAAAAAAGCTATTTTTTATACATACCGGCTGCAGTAATTATAGGGTGTTTTTTTCATGAAATTTGAAATACCATTTGGATTCACAACATTTTCTTTTCTAATACTCCAGAATATCTGCTATTTCATTAGAATTTTGTTTCATTTCATCGTCTTCTTCAATTTGTTATTTGATTTTTGATAATTAAGCCTAGATTATTTGCTCATATTTTGATTTATTCAACTTTTCCTTACAAATCACTTAAAATCAGGTATGGAATATATTTCTGGCTACGCCACTTTAGAGCCACTTCCTGTTGAACCGGAAGCAACTTTTGATTTTTATTCGAATCGTATGAAGTATTTTTTCAGTAGGTGCGAATTTGCCAAAAAATTAGGTATTTGATGGATTCCGAGGTGATTATCACCGTTCCCAAAATGTTGCCTTACTCTACTGTTTTCCCATATACAGCATATACAGGGTGGTTGATAATATAGTACACAGAACAATTTATTATGGTAGAATCCTGAAATCAAAATATGATCCTATTAGTGAAATATTGATGGTCAACAAACTATACAGGGTGGTAGCTGTAGGTACCTAAAAGTATATACTGAGTGATTCATTCATTTTGTAATAAAATAAATAGGTCATTGATAAATTATAGTACCTAAAACAATACATAGGCACACACATGTTCCTATTCAGAGTTTGAATTTTACCTCTTGAAATTTGTTACAAGTGTATTCAGTACACTGGGTTTAATTACTATATCTCTGTGAATATTATATCTTTCTGTATGTATTTATTGTTAGATATATTCATCAATTATCATTACCTACCTATTATTATTGCGACCTACTAAAATCTAATAATTTAAATCAATTGATTATACCTAATATTCCGGAACGAGGTCAATCTGGTAAATCAACTTCATCAAACAACAAAGGAGCAAAATAACAAAGAGTACGATGATGCCACTCCGATAAAAACAAACCAACAGTTGACTGACTCACTAATAACAACGATGGCACTCTCATGAATACTAACTAAAACGGGGTTACCAGATGCGAGTGCTACTTGCTCAAACTACGCTCAAACTGTGCTCTCATTTACGGGAACGGCTATTTACATTGTTTACAAGTATATTATTATCGTGATCGTGTTGCGGTGTTGAATCCACGTGATAACTTCGTGATAGGTACTTTTATAGTCTGAAGTGTGAAACTTCTGATATTTATCATAATTCCCAAGAGGAATATCCCATCATTTCCATCCCATATAGGTACCCTCTATACCTATTGAGAATAATTTAAATATAAGGTGGTCGGTTCTTAATGAAGAAAAATCATCAGTATTTTTTTCCAGTCAGTTTCTGGCAAATCTGGACATTGGAAATTTCAGTTCAGGGAGATAAAATTACAATCAAGGAATATCAGCAATTTCATCAAATACAAAATATATACCCAAGAAATCACATTAATAGGTATTTAAAGAAGCCCATATTCGTATTATGGTAACTAATAAGTTGACATCCTCAGTCGAACCCCATGAACTGGAAAAAAATCAATAAATACAGCTGTGATGACTACATATATATACATATAGTCTATTTCGAGATATTCTCCAGAATTAAATCTGTATCTGAAGTGGCCAATATGTTCTTTAAATCTTATACCAATAGTTCGACGTGTTTGTCCAATATATTTCATTGGTACAGTCATAACGATTCATCTCATACCTGATGTATCATAAATATAAATTTGTGCCCTACATCTAAGAATACCATTCAATTTCTCAAACCACCAGGGCTGAACGTTGCTTTTTCAGCAAAAAGTACCATTCATAGTCTTCTAGGCCACCCTAAAGATACAATTGATAAATTATTATAATGACAGTGGTGTAGATTTGTCAGCTGCATATACGTAATAATTGGATCAATTGTATTTCGTGTGAAATTTCATTATAAAACCGCAGAGGCAGAGCGCTTTCGGCTAATAAGCCATCATTGAAATTACTTACTTGCAGGTATATCACTGATGATTATTAGCCGAAAGCTCACTACCATTTTATAGTAACATTTTACACGACATACAAAATTTCTTCATTTGATTTATAATGACATATAATGACTAACATGAAATATATATTGAGCAAACACATCAGAACATTGGTACCAGTTTCAAAGAACATATTGCTCACTTCAGATATAATGATATGATGGCAACTTAGATGCCGTAATATTCATGTATAAAATTGTTCTGAAATCGTTCTATCCGTCATTCGGTTGCCCCCTTACGAGCAACCCTCAGAAGTCTTCGAGAGTCTTGTGCGAGCAAGGAATGAAGTACAGGGGAATAAAATTCCGAACACAATATTTCATAGTTAGGAAACTTGAAACCCAGATAGCACGACAATGGCATTCATAGAACGTCCATAGGATATTCTTAGACAATATTTGAATAATCTCAGAATATTCTCACAATGTGATGAACATAATCTAGGGACGTTCTATGAACACTGTATCAGTGGGATAACCAGCATTGAGACCCTAGAGAATAATAGGATATATCATTATAAATATTGATAAAAGAATAAAAACATAATAATCATAAATTGATATGATTCTCAATATATTCAAAATATTCAAAAAGAATATTCTGTCAAATAGAATGTTCATAGAATATTGTTTGCAGAATGAGAATATTCTATGCATGATCATTCTGAGAACAATCTATAGAATATTAGAAAATAAGTATGTTTGAACGTTTTATTAGAATATTCATAGAATATTCTGTGCTGTCTGGGTACTTAGTTCTTCACGAGGTTCTTCACTTATTTTCCCTTCCTAAGAATCCTAGGAACAGGTAATAAGACAGACTTTCATGACAAAAATATCACATAGCTAGATGCATATATCATTATTGTTCTCCTGATTGATAAAAGTTCAGATTTAATTAATAAATAGATAAAGGGGGGAGGCAGGAAATGTAATGTTGAAGTAGCTAAAATGACTACTAATCATAAAATCTGTGAGTTGACGAGGATTTTTGCTAAATAAATATCAAACTCGCATTATTTCGTGAGGTTTAGTATATATTGGTACTAAATTTCTCAGAGATATATCTGTGAGAAACATATTTTATTTATTTAAATCAAAAAACCATATTCAGACGCGTATTTTCAACACCCTTTATCTCGAAAAAAAAAAGCGTTTGATAGTACCTATATGTCTATACATCTTCTTATTATGTCGACCAGTGCAACATATAATGTATTGTTTGCATTGAAAACCGGACCTCCCTGTATATATACATAAATTCATTATCTCCTTAAACCAAAAATAGTTCGTAAACATTTCCGGATAGGTCGATCTTTCCACTTGAGGATTACTTACTGCAATAAAATGAAGTGATAATTTTCCTTTCTCAACTCCTAACTGATCTTTGTCCTAAATATTTTTTTCGTCGACATCTACAAAAAAATCACATTCTACATTTTTCCAGATTTTTTGGGATTCTCTCCTCGTTTCTATAAAATAAAAATATGAATATTATTTTGATATACGTGTAGTAAGGACAAATTAGATGATTTGCCCCAAAATGTCACTGCGTTTAAAGAATTTTCCTATTAGCCTAAAAGAAAAATTCACTAGCTTGTCACTGACGATTTGTATTGAAGAAGGTTTGGAGAAGAAAAATAAAAGTATATAGAAAAAATATCAAATTTTCACTTAGCTCTGGACGTTTCGGGAACGAATCTGCTCCTGTTTTCAACATAAAAAATGGATATTTGAATAGCAAATTCGTATTTGTCTTGACACTTTTCAGTTCTCAATGACAATTGGTGAAGTTGGCAATCAAATTAGTTACAGGATGTTTTCATCAATTATTATCTTGAATTTACCATTTTCATTCTCAGATTTCAATAGTGAACACTGCTACTAAAGCCTCGGCTATCGATAGACAGTGTTTTGTCTTTGGTACATGAATAACTATATTTTCAAAAAATTGAAAGTATAATGAGATTCTGATTGAAATATCAGGGTGCCTCAATAACTGTACATTCTAGCTTAATTCAGTGGCGATAAGAGATCCAATCTGGACCTCCATTTTTTTCCTAAAAGTATTTTAGCTGGACATTCCCCTGTAGTGCTATGTTCTGTATTTCGATAGGAAAACAAAAAACGATTGATAATAATCTCAAAATCTTCATTTACATTTCCAACTTTTGCGCGCGTTATTGCATTTTTCATTATTTTGCAGATTCGGCTTGCCCATTACTTTGCGGATGATACGGAGCATAATCTAATATACAGGGTGAACCACTTTCGTGTAATGACGTCATCACCTTTTTTTTTAAATGGAACACCCCCTTTTTTTTCAATTTCCAAATTTCCTTTGCTGAGCTGATTCCAAAAATGTGCAATGGTGGGATGCTTGATGCCATTCATCTTCTAAAAATGAGAGAATTCATTCGAAACAAAAGTTTCTGTGCACACCGTTTTAGGCAAACCGAACCTTGCAAAAATATCCCTCAATTTACTATCATTCGGGAACATTCGATCCATTCAGATGTTGAATCTTCAATTACAAAAAAATAGTTATTTGTTTAACTAGGCAGCAAAGTAGTAGATTGACTGCCGTGGCTGAATTCATAGCCGAGAGTAGCGAGGCTATAGGAATCCAGCTAAGGCAGTCAATCTACTTTGCTGCCGAGTTGAACATATAATTTTTTCTCTGATTGTTCATGATGATATGGGAGAATATTGTATTTGCGAATCAATACAATTCCCACAATCTCTTTATTCTTCCTGTATAGTGTTCAATCAAAATAAAATGATAGAAATCGCAGTTGTTGGTTTGACAATTCATGAAATTTCTGACTGTTTTGCGTAAAAATATCGGTATATTTAAATCATTATATAATGGACAGTGATAGAAACCTGATGAAAGTATACTCACACCTCCATTAATAAGGCAGGTGGCAAAGGATATAGGGTTGAATTTGTTGCCGGAGAAGTCTCGGATGAAATATGAAGGAAATTATAAACGATTTATGGATTTTTAATTTTGCTGATACATATCAATCAGCAAATTAACCACTTTGCTGCCTAGGCAGCAAAGTACCCACTTTGCTGATTGATATGTGTCAGCAAAATTAATATTTGCTGCCAATCGGAGGAAAAAATATTTTGAATAGGACCGGAAAAATCCAGACGCAATCGTGACCATTCTTGTTGACAGTAAACCCAAGGTTTAAGTTCACATTTTCCAGGATTTGGTCTATATTTTTTACGGGCTCTACAATTTTTTATGAGAGTTTCCAAATCGTTATTCATTGAAGGCCACCATACGTAAGATAGAAGGAGAAGAAGAAGGATAGAAGAGGTTTAGTATTTCTTCAACAAAATTGTTGAAGAGCGAAAAAATCACAAATTATCGAAATATCATCAGTGGTTTAAAAAATATGGGGGGCAATGTTACTGATCTGAATCTTCAAAGGATGAAGTTTTCGAAGAAGGAATCCTATTATATAGAATATAGAATATCGAAAAAGATTGAGAAATTTTCAACAATTTTAAAATTTTACCAATTTTAAACTTTTAACACCCTGTTGTTTTCATTTTCCAAAACGAGGTGTAATAGAATAACACCCTGTTGTTTTCATTTTCCAAAACGAGGTGTAATAGAATATCGATTGAAATTTCCTATTAGGTACCTATAGTCTAATACTGAGTTTTTTTAACGCAATGACATTTTGAAAAAATTCATCTGCTTTGTCCTTAATACACATAAACCATAGAATGCATAAACTGAAATAATACTCATATTTTTATTCATAGAAACGAGAAATAAGGCAGTATTCGTTGATTTCGTTTTTCCATTTTTCAAAACCGAATAAAGATGGCATGTAGTGTGCGGCATATAAAAATAGACAGCATTCATACCTATATTAAGAATTTTTCCATTTCAATATAACGACAAATAATTAAACTAAGTACTAAGTACATAATAATCATGATCACACATTGGTATTAGGTATTAGGAAACAAAGATGATTGCACAATAACATGCAATATATTATAAACATGGA